ATTCACATTTTCCTCCCAAACCTCACGAGCTGGGCTGGCCCTTTTCACATTTGGCTTCAGAGTCTGTTGTGGGGACTTCTAGGAAATCAGCAGCGAGTGGTTCTAATAATTGCTGATTCTTGGAAAGTGCCTAAAATAACTTGGCCAAGGCGGAGGGGTGGAGCGAGGCAGTCCTCGGAGATGACATTTCTCCTGCACTCTATTCCAGGCCTCGAGTTCCAGTTCCCCATAAAAAGAAGTTCTGTGTAGTTCCAAATTCCAGTGATTTTCCAGGAAAATCACCAAATGATGTTGGCATCGTTAGGCCATGTTTTTCAAGAATTCCTTCTAGCTGTTCCCTTTCCTCTGGACTCCAGCTGAATACAATGTCATTTTCTGGGATACAGTGTCAGAACCATGCAGGAACAGCAGTGCAGTCCCAGCGCTGGAGACACAGCTCAGAGGCAGAGCACTTGCCTGGCACGCATGAGGACCAGTCTCCAACATCAAAAAAAAAAATGGAGTCACATTCTCAGAAGACCCTGGTCTAGAGCTTTCCAGAGTTCATGCTTTCAAAACAACATTCAGATTCCCTCCTTCCCGAGTCTCCATTTCTCAGCACTTTGCAACTACCTGGGATGTTCTTCCTGTTTCTGAGCAGGAAGTGTTTGGGCCTTAATTCTCTGTCATCTCTCAGCTTAGTAGACCACCTTAGTGGAAGGAACTGAGTTCCTAGAGGACAAGAGAGACCATCTAGGCAAGCACGACAAAGCTCCAGCCCCAAATGCAGCTCCACCCAGGCTGTTGGCATCCATGTCTCCTGTATTTGAGGATCTCCAACCTATGGCCTGGCTCTGTCCACAGTTCCAACCTCAGTGAACTTGCCCTGCTGAAAGGAGGCAACCAGATCTGACCAGCACAGAAGTCACAGCTTTGGGGCAGGCTGGCGAGTAGGTGTTTCACACCTTCTGCTGGGAGAGGAGCTAAGCTGTGGAAATGAGCTTGAGTTACATTCCAGGGTCCAGCCAACTTGGAAGCCCCATGGGTCAAGGCTGGTGTGTGGCCAGCACAGAGTTCAGCACAGCTAAAGGGCATGGCACGGTGCTGCCCTGTGGCATTACGTACTCTTCAGTGGGCACCGTCAAGAGCATCACCTGTGGTTCCCGTTGCCATCCTCTTCCTGAGACTCAGGCTCCTCTTTTCGGGAGTCTCCTCTCCCATCTTTCCGTCTGCAGCTGGAACCCGTCCACCATGTTGGTGTTGCCAGTAACAATGCCACAGGCCACAATAACAAGCACAGAGTCCTGTGCCCCATTCAGTCTCAAGTCCAACTTTGGCCACACCCAACCCTGTCCAGGTAAGCCCACAGTCTTCCAGGGTTCTTACCAGTTCTGGACATCTGAGCTTTTGTCAGAAACTGGAGGTGGGTGTCTCAGCGTGACAACACCGAGGAGTTCCTCCTTCTGGACATCCGCGCTTCGCTGGCAGTGGTAGATGCAGGCTGAGCTCTCAAACTTCAGGGAATTCGCTCTTTCTACACATCTGAGTTCAGGAGTGAGAGCTGGAATCCCAGCTCCACAGTGTCAAGCAGCTCTATAACATCTACACCTCATCTAAGACTAAAGCTCTAGAAAATCAAGAATGCCCCTCTTTCTAGACATAGGAGCTTCATCAGAGCCAGAGTTAGAAGTCCAGCTCTGATATATCAAGAAAGTACTTCTTTTTGAACATTTGAGTTTCATTAGAGGCTGGAGCTGGAGTCTTGACTCTAGAACACCAAGAAGGTCCAGAAAGATGAACCTCTAGAAGCTTCACTGCAAGCTGGAGATTCAGTCCTGGCTCCCCTGGGAGCTGCAAGATGTAGGTCTGGCTCTACAGCATCAAGGAGTCCCCTCTTTCTGGACACCCAAGTCTCAGGGGCCAGCTCTCTGAGCTTCGAAGGTGAAAGCCAAAGTCCTCACTCAGGAACATCAAGCAAGTCCATCTTTCTAGACATTGGGGTCTCGATGGAGGCTGGAGATGCAGTCCTGGCTCTAGAACATCAAGGAGACCCTCCATCTGGACATCAGAGTCTCGGAGGATGGAGCTGGGATCCCAGCATTAGAACAGTTTTCATTTTCTGGACATCTGAGCTTCAAAGGCCAGAGCTGGAGTCCTGCCCCTAAAATACTAAGACCTGCATCTTTTTAGACATCTGACTTTCTTCACTGGAGGCTGTAGATGTATTCTAGGCTCTAGAAAAATCAGGAGTCTCCTCTCTCTGGATATCTGAGTCACAGGCTAGAATGTCAGAGGTGTTCATCTTTTTGAACCTCTGAGCTTCATCAAGGGCTGGAACAGGAGTCCTGATGCTACAACATCAAAGAGGTTCAATTTTCTGGATGTCTGAGCTTCGCTAGAGGCAAGAGCAAGCGTTCGGCCTCCAGGTCATCGAGGAGCTCCTTTTGCTGAACGTCTGGGCTTCACTGGGAGCTGAATGTGCAGCCGGCTCCGGAACGTCAGGCGGGTCCAGCTTTCTGGATGCTGAGGGTTGCCAGACAGAAGGTGAAGTACAGTCTCAGCTTACAACATCAAGGAGAACCCTTTTTCTAGGTGCCCGAACTTAGGGTTCCAGCACTAGAGCGTGACAGAAACCCTGTGACATCTGAGCACCATCAGAGACTGGATCTATAGTGCCCTGCTTGGGGACACCGAAGGACTTCCTGTTTCTGGACATCTGTGCTTCAGTGGAAGCTGGAGCTGCAGTCTGGGCTCTAAAGCAAGGAGGTGCTTGTTGTTTCTGTATGCCTTAGCTTTATCAAAGACCAAAGTCAGGGCCTCAGCTCTAAAACATCAAAAGAGAGGGGTCGCTGAGTGTCCAAGGTTTGTGAGAGGCTGGAGCTGGGATCCTGGCGCCAGGTGCTGGGCTCTTCACTCTGGATGTCTCGGCTTCATCAGAGGCTGGGGATTGGGTCCCAGTGCTGCAACACCGAGAGGGTACCTGCACAGATGCCTGTGGCTTGGCAGAGGCTGGAGCTGGAGTCTTCCCTGGAGCATCAAGGAGGTCCCACTTTTTGAACATCTGAACCTCATCGGAGGCTGGGGCTGGAGTCTCTGCTCTGCAGCATCAGAGGGGCTGGTTGGGAAGCTGAGCTTCGCTGGAGGGTCTCTCGGTGGAGGCCTTCGCTGGGTTCAGCTGCTCATGGACTCGTCTAGACTGGGCACTCCAGAGGCCATCTCCTGCTCTTCTCCTCACAGCCTGGCCCGCAGGGCTTCGGTTGGGGCACAGCCGTGGTCCTCAGGGTGGTTCCGCTCTTAACAAAGGGGCCTCGCCCAGCCCTCTGCACTTACAGTTGGACTTGCCTGCAGATCTTGGGGTCCCTCATTGTGAGGAGAAGGGGGAGGAGGGGTAATGGGGAAGGGAAGGAGGACGATGAGGAAAGAGGAGGAGGAAAGCAAGAAGGAGGTGGGAAGAGAGGGGAGGAGGGGAAGGAGGAGAGAGGGGAGGAGGAGAGAGGGGAGGAGGAGAGAGGGGAGGAGAGAGAGGGGAGGAGGAGAGAGGGGAGGAGGAGAGAGGGGAGGAGGAGAGAGGGGAGGAGAGAGAGGGGAGGAGGAGAGAGGGGAGGAGAGAGAGGGGAGGAGGAGAGAGGAGAGGAGGAGAGAGGGGAGGAGAGAGAGGGGAGGAGAGAGAGGGGAGGAGGAGAGAGGGGAGGAGGAGAGAGGGGAGGAGAGAGAGGGGAGGAGAGAGAGGGGAGGAGGAGAGAGGAGAGGAGGAGAGAGGGGAGGAGGAGAGAGGGGAGGAGAGAGAGGGGAGGAGAGAGAGGGGAGGAGAGAGAGGGGAGGAGGAGAGAGGGGGGGAGAGGGGAGGAGGAGAGGGGAGGAGAGAGAGGGGAGGAGAGAGAGGGGAGGAGAGAGAGGGGAGGAGAGAGAGGGGAGGAGGAGAGAGGGGAGGAGAGAGAGGGGAGGAGGAGAGAGGGGAGGAGGAGAGGGGAGGAGGAGAGAGGGGAGGAGAGAGAGGGGAGGAGGAGAGAGGGGAGGAGAGAGAGGGGAGGAGGAGAGAGGGGAGGAGAGAGAGGGGAGGAGAGAGAGGGGAGGAGAGAGAGGGGAGGAGGAGAGAGGGGAGGAGAGAGAGGGGAGGAGAGAGAGGGGAGGAGGAGAGAGGGGAGGAGAGAGAGGGGAGGAGGTGGGCGAAGGAGGCGGAGGGGAAGGAGAAGATGTGGGGCACGAAGAAGGAAGGGTCAGCAATGGGGGAAAGAGGAAAGTAAGGAGCGAGAAGGAAGGGAGGGGCAGGGAGAGTAGTGGTGGCCTTGGTGGCGGCTGTGGTTGTGATGGCCACAGTGACAGTCATACTTGCAGTGGCCCTGGTGGCCGCTATGCTGCTGATGGCCGTGGTGGCAGCTGTGGCACTGATGGTCATGGTGGCAGCTGTGGTAGCAGTGGCTGTGGTGGCAGCTGTGGTGTCGATGGCCGTGGTGGCAGTAGTGTCGGCTGCTCCGCTGTCAACTGTTCCGCCTAAGCTGGGCACAGCAACCTCCTTGGCCCTCACCGCCTTCCTGTGGCTGCCACAGGCTTCCTGGCAGCAGGACTGTCCCTGTCAGTCACAGGGGTGCGGGGCTCACCTCCCCGCACCTGCTGGCACCCTCACTGGAGGGCCAGGCAAGGTGGGCAGAGGCATCACCTCTGCAACCCACATGGACTTACGCTGGAATGGGCGCTGGCCCAGGGTCGTGGTCAGGCTGGCTCATCTCGGCCATGGTGGCCCCTTGGCCATGGCCCTGGGAACATGCGGGCCAGGGACCAAGGCAGTGAGCCTTCTCCAAAGGCGGACAGGACACTCCCTCCACTTCCTGCCCTGTGCCCCTTTCTGGAGCCTGGGGAAGCTCATTTGTCTGAGCACCCCTCAGGTGCCCATCCAGGAGGGCACGGGGAGCTTCCTGGTCCTGAGTGGGCTCCCACCCTTCCCCCAGCACACTGTAAAAGGAAGCCCCCGCCAGGCACAACACCCGACTCCCCTCCTCAGATTAGTAGCACATCATCACTGCTTTGGTTAAGACAAGAAACATTTATTGAGAGCACGAGAGGTTGAGCCCAGGCCGGCGCGTCGAAACCGCGTCCCAGCGCCTCGCAGCAGCCCTGGGACACGAGGCAGCAGTCCAAGCCCACGTCACAGAGGTGGGCAGTGGAGGGTCCGCAGTTCCCCCAAGTCTCAGCATTCGGGGAGGGGAGGTGGCTGACCCCGGGGTCAGTGAAGTCCTTCAGTCAGAGGGTGCCTCGCTACTCAAGGGGAGGCCCGGTCCAGAATCTTTGCGTCCAGCCTGTCCCGTGGGAACGTGCGCCGGGCGTCCCCGTGGCTGTGAAGGCTGAGAGAGACACAGTTGCACATGAAGTCCACCTGCTCACAGGCCCACAGGCGGACACGAGTTCTCATGCAGACAAGCAGGCCCAGGAGGGAGGAAAGGACACCGAAGCCACCTGGGGCTCTGGTGGCCACGGCAGGGACGAGGGCAGCACCCAGCCTCCAGCTCTGCCCTAACCCGGCTCCTGAGCTGCTCCGCCTTCCTGAAAACCATCCTAGTGCTTAGCCCTGGATTGCACTTAGCTGTTTTTCTAAAATCTTCACCTCATCCTCCTCTGGGCGGCTTCTAAAAGTTTGACCCTCCCACCTCTGCCACACTGGGGATGGGCCCAGCGCCCTCACACAGAGCTACACGCTCTGCCCTTCTTTGAAGTTCTATTTGGCCACAAGGCCTCCCTCCGTCATTTAATTGCCCGGGTTGGGATCTTTCTGCCTCAGCCTCCCAGAGTGGTGAAACTGCAGGCATGCACCCAGCGTGCCCGGCTGATGCTCGCATTTCTGCCTCCACTTACCCTCTCCAGACTTTCTGACTCTCACTGTTTTGGTACCAATCCTTCTCCTGTCCCGACTCCCCAGTGCAGGCTGCGTGCTGCCCTCACCCCTTCCACTCTGCCCAGGATCACGGGGTGCGGCAGAGTTTTAGGGAGCACGGTGCCTCTTCACCCGTGTCCTCGGGTGGTCAGCTGCACAGCAGCCAGTGACCCCCGGAGGGTGGGGCTGAGAGCGTCGTGTGCCCGGTCACCAAGCAATTACCTCCCACAAGCGATCCCACTGAATTCCACGATAACCAGGCCCCGTAGTGTGATGACCTCCACGTTACAGTCAGACAAACGCACTCAAGGCCACATGGACAGGAAGGGGCCAGGGAAGCCTCGAACTCAGACCTTGATTCCCACGAGCCAGTGTGTGGCACACAGCGAGGTTGAGGGCAGTGTGCCTGGCATTCCCAGTCACCCCAGAGCAGAACTGGTCCCCAATGCCTCCCACTTCTACAGGTGCCCAAAGTGAGGGTCGGGATGGTCTCAGCACCCTGTGCGAGGACGCACAGTTGGCACATAGGTCCCCAGGACCAGAATCCAGATGGGCCAGATGTCTGGAGCCCTAGCGCTAGGCCTGAGCACTGGCCCTGGTTTTGGGGCGGTCAAAAATGGAAACAAAGGAATCAAGGCCTGGAGTCCGATTACCTGTCACCCCAGTTTGCTAGGCCCCCACCCCATGGCTGCACTCCACCCCCAGACTGTGTCTCACAAGCCAATGCCAATGTCACCAATAGTGCAAACAGACTTTTGGGACCCCAGGGCAAAGACTCCAGAGCCTCCGGAGAGGGCATGGGCGTGGTCAGGTCATCCCTGTGGTTTGGGATTTGCCAAATGCCACCGAACCGAAGCCCAGGGTCATAGCACCCGTGAGAACATTCCAGCCCAAATCCTGCTTTATTCTCCTAATCAAATCTGCACTAGGCAGGACCTCAATGGCCGCCCATGCCCTAGGTGAGGCCTCAATACAGGCAGAGGCCTCGGGGCTTCTGTGGAGTCTTTGCCAAGAAAACACACACTTTCCCCTTAAAGGAAGGCAAGGACGTGGGCCACCCAGGCCTCCGAGCTCTGCCACCCACCCCCAGCCCTCAGCATGGGAGAGCAATCATTAGGCACCCACTAGTACAGGAAGCAGGGTGGGAGGGTGAGAGGAGACAGACAGGCCTTGGAGGGGTTCACATGCAGTTGAGCCATGACCTCCCTGCCCACCCCAAAGGGACACTGGGTCCCTGTGACCGCCCCCTAGTCCTAGGCCACACAGACCTCTCCTAGAGGAGCCCAAGGCCCAGTCAGGAGCAGGCGTTGACCCACAGACTCTGAGTGTCCCAGGAGGGGACAAGACCCCGCATGCTGTCAAGGACAGGGATGGACGTGGTGCGCACCCCAAAGGCTATGCCGCGAGCCCCAGCACTGCCTCGCCACAAAGCCCGAGAAAGTGGACCATCGATCGTGGAGCCTGTGCCACTGATCTGGTGGCAGGCATGGTGGGACAGAAGGGACAGAGGAATGGCAGCCAAACAGGACAATACAAACTGGGGATCCCACTGGAGGGGGCCAGGTGGACAGGACCAAGGCCAGGCAGGCACGAGGGCCAGACCCACGGAGGCCGGGGAACCAGAGCAGGAGGGGGAACCCGGAGGAATCTGGGGAGGGGAAGGCAGCTTAGGGGTGGAAAGGCTGGGTTTCGCTCCTTGCCCCAAAACACAGGCTGGAAAAGGAAGCCAACGGTGTGAAAGAGAAACCCCGGTCAGAAGTGACCCGAGGTGCATCCATGTACCTACAAATTTGTCTCAACTTTATCCTTGTTCGTGGCAGAGTAGTACTCTACTGCACATAAACATCTTTATCCAATTATCTACCGATGAGCATCTGGGCCGTTTAGCTATTATAAATTTTTTAGCTATTATAAACTTGCCTTTCAACTCTTTTGAGAAGATACCAAGAAGGTTAGTAGCTGGTCAAGTGGAACCTGTAGCTTTCATTTTTTGAGGAACTTCCACACTGATTTCCAGCGGTTATACCAGTCCACACTCCCCCACACAGCTGTGGAGAAGGGGTCCTCTTCCCTCGACAGCCCCCAGTATTTGCTGTCTGATTTCGAGATACTAGCCATTGCTACTGAAGTGAGGTGGAACCTCAGTGCTGGTTTAATCTGCAGCTCTCCAATGGCCAACAATGCTGAGGCTCCTTTCATACAGAGTCCAACAAAACATGTACACATGAAGAAAAGAAAAACTTGCATAAATATTTTAGCACTAAATTTACTGAGCCATCACCTTTGGCTTCCACACTTACGAGCGCTCAAAGTGGCGGCTGCTGACGTGGCTTAGCACGGCAAACTGAAGTGTGTGTACGTTTTGTGGCCGACTCAGTATTTATTCTGTTTCTCTTCTTCATCTAAGTAACATCTATACATTGCAGATGCCCATTTTTGGACTGTCTTGAAATTTGAGGAGTATGACTTTTTCAGTTCTTTATATGTCCTAGACATCACGTACATGGATGCACACCACGGAGACCACCACGGCTCAGTGAAGTAAGTCAAACACAAGGTGGGCCATCGGGTCCTTTCTCTGGGGTGAGAAATTCACAGCTGCTCCTGTAAGTGAGGAGCAGGGTGGAGCCCGGATGCCGGGAAGGAGGGAGAACAGAACGGGGAAGGGGGAAGAGGTTTGAAGAAAAGAAAATAAATGGAAGGAAAAAAATGGAACCCAAACTCTATACATGGGGAGGGAAGAAGGGATGAAGGGAGAGGAGAGGAGTGCGAAAAGGAACTTGAGAATTGTGCACAGCTCCAGTGCTTTGTGAAGACTGTGGTCAATATGCATAGTACATATGGACCAAGGAAAAAGCAAGAAAAGAAGAGACCTGACACCCAGGCAGGGCTGAAGCCCAGTCTCCACACCAGACCAGAATCCCTGCTTTTGGCCCTGCATTCCCTCCACAGGGCACTGCTGGGCACCCAGTGGGGACTGGCACACTCAAGGAAAGGGGGAAGGGAAGGAGTCAGACCATCTTTTCATGCAAGGCTGTGACATCCTGGCCCTGACGCCCAGTGTCCTTGGTTCTCAGTTTTCTCATCAATCAAATGGGCTCACACTACAAGGACAGTAGGTGCCAGAAAAAGAGTCAGAGCCCTGCACTCGGTGGCTGACCAGGGAGAAAGGGAAAAGGGTGTGGTCTTAGGGCCTCCCCACAAAGATGCCACCCCCACCCTCTAAGTCACCCCCTACTGTTCCTCCCCAACAAAGCAAACCAGGGCACACACCCACATTAGCAGGGCACCTCCCAGCAGATGATGGCCCCCCAAGGTCCCCAAAGCCAGTGGCCCAGCCAGCTCAGGAAGCAGCAGCCCAGGAAAGAAAGAGAGGAAGGGTCAGGGGATATCGGAGACCCCAAGCAGGGAGAAACCACCACCCACCACCTGCACAAACATTTGCCCCGGCCCCCACCACAGAGACCCTGCAGCCTGCTTGGGCATGTGTCCTACACAACCCATCGGCGGCTGGGTAGAGAGAGGGCAATCCTTTTTATTCACTCATGTCACTAGTGCTGCCCAGAAGACAAATGCACGACACACACAACCCACGCATGACCTCCCCCAAGTAAAACCAGCACAAGCACTGTCACAGCCACAGCAAACCCGGCCTTGGGCCCTCCCCAAACCCCTGTGAGTAGGCCATCCAGGGACGCACACCTCTGAGAAAAAGACTCGAGGGTCAGAGAGGCAAAGCAACTACTCAGATTGCGGTTAGTTCAGTGACCCCGAGGTCTGCCAGGGTCCCAAGCGCAGCTCGCGGCACAGACCCGGCCGCCATCAGCAGAGCCAGGGCTTTACACACAGCGCAGCGGGTTACAGGTGCGGGTTACAGGAGCAGAGTACAGAATCGCGGGACAGGTGAGGAACAGCGGCCACTAGGCATCGGTCACAGCACAATCAGAAGCCGTCCACACAGGGACGGGGCGGGAGAAGGCGGGGCCCTGCCACTGGCCTGGCACTGCGGGGCACCAAGTGTGCCCGGGGAAGAAGCGACACCGTGAGGGGATGGTGAGGGCTGTCCTGGACAGCCGGTGCCTGATACACGGCTGGGGTGGGGCGGGGTGGGGTGGCCTCTGGGTTGGGGCATGATGAGGGTGCTGCCCACAGGCCGGCCAGTGGCATGGCTCGCACAATTACACTATTCCAACCTTCCACGGAGGTGGGTGTGAATGTGTACCCCGGGGGCATGGAGGGCGGGGCGCTGCCCAAAGAGTTCCCGACCCAGTCCTGAAAGTTCCTGCCCGAAATGATTCCCACTTCACCCTAAAATGCCATACAAATTTAGCATCATACCCCACAATTTATCCTGCATATTCAGAAAATGTGATTTCCCACTGAATTGCCAGAGAGGGACGTGGTCCCTCTTGGCCTTGGGGCCCGCACCTCCGGCAGACCCCAGGGACACACACACCACCTTGCAGAACAGTTACAGAGTTCCAGATACACCGCTCCCTCCTCGCAACAACCCTGCGAGGTGGGCGTCCCCGCCCCACCCCCAAGAAGGCAGCTTTAGACTTTCACAGACAGGTTAAACCACACAATTTGTCCAACACAGGGGTCCTGGCTTCACTGGTTACAGCCTTGCCTCAAGCAAGGACTCAGACTCAGAATTTTAGCACAGCCCCCTCTCATGAGACCTCCACAAACCCTGCAGGATGACCTCAAAGCTGGCCAGGTTCCGAGCGCCTCGGATGCCAGGTCTGCCAGCAGACTACTCTGCTCAGACTCCTTCCTGGGGGGTGATCCCTGTCACCTACCCAAGCATCATGGCCCAAGATCTGCTCTAAAAGAGCACAGCTAATCTAAAAAGGGGAAGGAAGGACCCTCGGGTCACCTCCATTAAGATCAAGGTGTCCTGGTCCCTCAAAACCCTGTTCATCACAAGCCCCAAGCTCTCCACCCACCTCTCAAGGATATAGTCTATGCTTCCCAACATCCAGGGAGTAGAGTTTGCTGATTACTAATCAACCTACTCTTGTAAGGAATGAACTTGGAGAGAGTAATCATTTGCAGTGGAACTCGGATCTAGAAGTCAGAGCTAAATCAAGGTTCCCACTTTGTTTCAGACACACAAACACAGCCCCTCTCCAAACAGGGTCATCTCTGCCTCCAAAGCGCTAGGCTGGGAGGAAGCCTCGGGGGCGGGCTCTACCATAGCACTGGCTCATGTTTTCAGATGTCTGTCGAGGGCAAGGGGACGCGGGGATGGATGTGGTTGAACCTCTGGGGGCAGCCACAAGGCTGAGTGAGGGCAGAGCTGGTGGCAGGGGCACCATGGGCCAGGCGGGGACGGGGGCATCTTCCCCGGAGGGGAGGGGCGCCCTGCCCTGGCCACTGTCAGACCTGGGCTGGGCTCACAGTCACGGTGTGCGATGGTAGAGAAGCAGCATGCAGGGGAGAAGCAGCATGCAAAGGAAGCCGGGGCAAGTCCACGGTGTGAGTGGACATATGAAGGCCATGCTGAAAAGGTCCAGTCACCTCCCGAGCTCCAAGGCCCGATAAACACGGGCGGGAGGGTCTGACCCAGGCAGGCCGTGCTCAGGGCTCAGCACAGGTGGCGGGGAAAGCAGCTCTCCGCCGACAGAGGAGGGTGTTGGAAGGCAGGGTGAGCCTTCCTTCCTCCGGGAATGTCCCCTCCCGAGGGGCAGCAGGGACCCTGGAGTCTTGGCATGCATTTGGGGTGTGCATGCAGGAGCCGTAGGCTCCTCAGATCATGAATTGCACCCATGGAAAGAAATGGAAAGCCTGACCCACAATGCTCCACTCAGCGACCAGCACGGAGGACTCCGACGACCAGCACGAAGGCCAGGCCTCGGGGAAACCGGCTGACGTCTGGTGGGACAGTGGCGGCCAATTCCCCTAAGAAGTGGGAAATGGAGGGGCCGGGGCCTGGCGTCCATGAAGACTGGCGGGGAAGGTGACAGGGCCATGCATGCTTGCCCACAGGACTGCAGGTACTGGGGTGACTTTCTGGACCTTGGGGTGGGGCCATCAAAGAGTTATCACTGAGTCACAAGCTGAAGAGGTGACACTGGGGCTCAAGCACACCTGAGGCCTATGACCGTAACTGTCGCCTCCCTGACAGCTGGGGGAAGGTCTCCCTGTCACCATCACTCGGTTCCCAGGGACCCGCAAATTGTAAGGTCCAACGGGCTGGAAAGGCAGCTGGGGCCACCCTCGCACCACTATCTGAATCTCCACTAACCTGTCCTCCTCAAACAGCTGCCTGGCCAGCTCCTCGGACACCTCAGTGACCAGGAGACTCCCCACACCCTAAGGACACCCTAAGGACACCTTGACCAGCCTTTGCAGAAAGCCATGACCCAGGTGATGTGGACAAATAGTTCACAATTTGTTAACAAATACAGGCAGGGGAAATATTCAACCTTCGTTAGTGATTATAGCAAGTTAAACTGATGCCAAAGCACTTGTTAACACAGAAAAACAGAAACCTGAAAAGATTGTTAATACATTGCAGGCATCGTGAAAGCTTCTAGAATTCACTAACATCCAATAAAACTCTCCGGCTTTTCATGCAGGAAGCTCAACACCAAAAGTTCACGAATCACGCACGGGCTCGCTCACCAATCCGCTCATCTATCCGTCCTCCCGTCTCTCAGCCGACCACTCACGTCAGCATCCACCCTCCCACCCTGTCACGCGGCAGATATGGACCCACGGCCCACGGCAGGTCGTGCACCCGAGGTACAAAGACCCCTCTGACGTCCCTGCCCCTCAGGGGCTCACAGTCTAGCAGGAGAAACTGGTGTGGAAGGAATCAGTCATTTCTGGGTGTGGGGAAGCGCTGCAGGAAGACGGGGTGCCAGGGGAGGTGGAGGTGGAGGTGGAGGTGCAAAGCCGTTAGTTGGGACGCGCTCTGTCACACCGAGAAAGAAGGCGGCTTCTGCGTAGGGCCAGCAGGATGGTTCTGCAAATGGTGCCATTCAATGGAGGCCGTCGCGGGGAGGTTACAAAGACTGTGGAACAAAGGGAGATGGTGCCAGCGGAATATTAAGTGGGAAACACAGCAATGCAAAGAAAAGCATCTGTGGTGAACAATGACAATTAGGTGTAAAAAAAAAAGGAGGTGATCAGAAACAAAATAGACGTAATCAGAAGACAAGCAGAAGAAGAGCGCAGAAGACAAGAACTTGAAGGGCAGGGCGGTGGGGGCATGTGGGGCTGAGCGGGGGGCCACTGTGCACCTCTCACGGGAGGCACCAGGGGCCGAGACCCATCTGGGTGGGGCCTGGGAGTCACAGGGGGAGACCAAGGACAGCAGTCCCTCTTGGCATCACCAGTGAAGGCATTTATTTGTGTGTGTGGCGCACTCGGGCATCCACAGGAAGACAAAGCTGTCTCACTTTACAAAAGTTGATTAAAAACACGAAAGTCCACTTGAGATGGCCCAGGGAGGGGGGCGGGGTTCGGCTCAGGAGCACACGCAGCTCAGGGGCTCCCCCACCTATCGGTGCTGCCCTGACCCTCAAGTCCCGATGCAGGCCCAAGTATCCTGGACACACCCCCAACAACAGGACAGTCAGCCAGCCCCGACCCGCCCACCCTCTGGGACCTGGGCACTCCCACCAGGGTGCCTCCCCCTTGCCTTGGTCAGCCCCTCGATGGATGTGGGGTGTGGGCTCCTCTAGAGGTCGGCTCACCCATTTTCCCCTGCCACCTGAGTTCCAACAACTTCTCAAACACAGCTGGCTTCCTTCCCGAAGGTCTCCCAACCCCTCTGTGCTGACCCTGGGTCCCTCCTCACAGCAACCCTGGACCTGTCTGGAGAATCTCCAGGCCAGTGGTGTCCCAGAGTGACTGTGCTGTAGCAGAACCCAGATGCCCACAGAGGTGGCCAGCAGAATCCTGTGACCTCACCCAACGTCAGGCCCACAGCACAGAAGGTGGCTCCTGACACATGAATGCCGTGTCCTCCATGTTCTCAAGGCCGTGATGTCACCATCACTCAGGGCCTGTGCCCAGCCCCTCGCCTTCCCGTGCTGTGCATCCTCAAACCTGCAGCTTTTTAGCCCGCGTCCACTGCACTCAGTCCTCTGCAGCTGGACCACAGCATCAGCCCTGTCTCTCCTGGCTGTCACGTCCTGCCCTACCAGGTCTCTGGCTTTACCCCGCCCGGGTCTGCGTGTGCTCCCTGGGCCCTCTGAGTGTGTAAGAATCTCAATATCTTTCTTTTTTTTTTAATATTCCAAATGGTTCCTGGGATGCCAAGAGAGACCATGGTCCTGATTCATGTGAACAAAACAGGCACATGACGCACGCAGTAAAGATCTTGTGCATGACAGAGAAAGGGAACAAGACAAAAGCAGGGGTCCCTGTGGGGAGGGACGTCACTATAAATGACTCTCTAGGTGCCCCAAGCAGCCCCCAGAGGGCTGACCCGAGAAGACAGCTCTGAGCGACACACAGTGCAACGCACCTTCCACCAAATAAAGAGTACATTTGTCCAACGGTCAGAAAGACAGGCCTTGAAACGGGCTCTGGGGATGCCACATCTGGGGGGCCAGGTTCCCGGGGCCTTGTTGGTAAGTGGGGCTCAGGTGGACCTATCTAGGACCCCCAAATTAAGAAGAGCAGCGCCCCACCTGGGCACATTCCAGAGTTGCCAGAACAAGGTTTCTGGTGCTTTCCCCAGGACTCCTGGGTCCCTCTTCAAAGGTGCTCCTGACTATTGTCCCCTGTCCCCCACACCCTGGTATGACCAGAAGCCATCACCCAGGATGCCTGGGCGGGGTGTAAGTGCCACCCAGGGCCCCCTGCTCCCCAACCCTCTGCTGCCCTCTGGCGGGCAAGGCCTCCCTCACAGGTGCTCACCTGGATGACCCCTGCCCAGGGAGGGGACCAACCACTGAGCTCAACACCCCTTGTTCAGGCAACTTCTGCAGGGCCCGGGCTGAGCCCTAGCTGCCCGTCTAGGCCAGAACTGGAGATGGGCAGGGCATCGTCATGGGAGGGGCCCACATTTCTCTCAGGGTCCCCCAGGCAGGGAGCTCGTGTCTGCCCAAGGTGTGGATGGGACACGAAGGAGCGAGAGGAGCGGGGTGGCCCACGTGACAGCTGGCTCCCTCCTTCCTGCCTCCTAGCGCCCTTCTCTCTGGGCACCGGGCACCATGCCGGTTGCCCTCAGCCACAGCCCAGCTCTCAGCTCACCAGAACGCTGCTTTTCCCAAGTCCCACGTATCAGTCGCACCATTTCTATGGCTTCTTCCACTCCTATTTGTCCCTAAACCTTGCCTTTCTCCCCCCCTCGCACTCCTACAAACTCAGCGCCCAGAGCCGGAGGGCTCCGGCTGGAACCAGACCCTCCTTCCCCTCCGCCAGAACACGGCTTCTCAGTTTTTAGTCACTGACTCGCCCACTCGTGTCCTCTCACCCGTGGACCCCGTGCGTCTATCACGGTGGGAGATGCAGCCTCCTGTTGGGGCCTGGGATGTAACAGGCTCATCCATCTAAGGAGGATGGACAGGAACTCACTGTAACCCCTGTTCAGAGAACCTCCTCTTCCTTTTCCATGGGTCGCTTGGGTTAGTGGTCTATGAGCTTTCCTGGTGTCTGTCTGTCTGTCTGTCTCTCTCTCTCCCCTCCCTTTATCCCCGCCCCTAGGCACTGGGTCTGGATGATCTGATCCATCTTTAGGATTCAAAGCCCCCATACTAGCCCTCCCCTTGCTTCTGAATACACCCGCGGGCGTGGCTTCCCTCTCGTCCTCCCCTTCCTCTTTCCTTCGGGTTTATTTTGCCTTCCTGCTCTTCCTGACATCTTTCCTCCATCTCTTCCCTCCCCAGGACCTCAGCTGCCCAGAATGAGATGGGGATCCCGTGGGCCGCTGCGCCCTGGCCGCCTCCGCCATTTCCATTTCTAATTCAGTCTTTCACTCATCCATTCACCCTTTCTGCCCCTCTTTTATTCCAATATTTATTCTTTGCTCTGCGGACCTCAGGTGCACGGAATTGGATTAACCGTAATCTGAGGTTCCCAGAGCCATCTCAGGCCTGGCCCACACGGGACTCTGCTTTGTTGCTTCATTTCTTGTACTGCTGCTTTGGTCTAGGATTTATTTAACTATCTCATCAGCTCAGCTCTGAATTAGTCATAATTCTTGTTCCCTTTTCCTTTTTATCCCTGTATGGCCCTGGCTCACACATATTTATGTATGTATTTATGCATTCAATATGCTTTTATTGCTGATATCCATCTTGTCACAATTTTCCGTGCTCCTTCCTCGCTGTGGATCACAGCTTTTTCCTTTGCAGCCAACTACTTGCATGAGACTTGGGTGCAGAAGGGAACGAACTAAAAACATCATTCCTCACTCATTTACGGTCACTCCCAACTCATTCTTTCCCTGGGATATTCGCTCTTTTATTGAAACCCCGTCATCACTACTTATTACCTGGAATAAATAACGTTTATTCATCGTACTTCTCCGGGAAGTGCTTTTTCTTCCCCGTGTCTAGTTTCTCTTCTACATTTTTCCTTCCCTCTCTCTTTGCATCTTTATAGATTTTTGCACTTGCATGGATTTTTAGTATTGTGTACAGTCTTTAGGGCCGTGGTTTTGTTTGTTTGTTTTTGCAGCACCAGTGGAAGCCAGGGCCTCAGGGAGGCGGGTGGGCAGCCACTGTCCTGCTGAGTGACACCTGAGCCTGGGCCTGATTCGGAATGAATATGGATGACTCACAGGACTCCCTGTCCCCCTGCTGTCCACTGCTTTTTCCCACTTCCATTTTTCCCCATCTTACTGTTCCTCTATCACTGTCCTCCACTTTCCTCCTGCAAATCAGACCCAGGCTTGGGGACCCTCGGAGACCCTGTCCTCCAACACCCGCCTCACTGGCCAATGCAAATCTTTCTTCTCATTCATGCATTCATGCATCCATTCAGTCTTTTTTTCCACTTAAATACTTCTTTCCACACTTCCCGACAGCAGGTGCACCTAATTGGACACTCTGGGTCTGCGGCCCAGGCCCAAGGCCCCGCCCCTGCCCCATGGCTCCGCCCCAGGCATCCATGCTCAGGACCACTTCCTGGTTGGCTGGGTACCGTCCGGCTCAGGAGCACAGATGGGGATGAACTCCACAGCCTCTCCTAGCCTGCCTCTCTCCCCCTGTTCCTCTCCCGCTCTCTCATTCTACATCTACGTATTGGTAACAGATTATCTTTCTAATTTTTAGCTAGCTCTGGTTTTCAGTCTCTGTGCGTCCCCTCATGGCTTGGCTCTCAGGGCCCGTGGACAGTGCCCCACGCAGCCACCTGCACACACCCTCTCTTGGCCCCACTCATATCGCTCAGTAACTCCTCCCTTCACTCACATCATCCCTCCTTTCTGGCTTCTCTCTTTCTTACCCTCATTGGCGGAATCAGGAGCTCACTCCCACCCTAGCCCAGCCCTGCCACGGATCCATCCATGTACCCTCCAGCAACAGCAGCAGCTCGTCCTCTCTTCCTCTTTCGTTCTTCACTCTCTCTCACCCCAACTCTCCCTAACTTCCGTCTCCCTCCCTATCTGGTCTCGTTTTCTCCGAGCTGGATGCGTAGATGGGACTAATTACACCATCAGCACTGTCTCCGGCCCACTGCGCCCTCGCCGCCTCCTCTCTTTGTTTCTTTAGATGCTCCCTGGCTGGTTCCTTTACGTATTATTTCATCCACAGAGCCGGGCTTTTAGAAGTGAATGCACCCCAAGCTGGGACTGGGAGGGCTCCTTCCACCCGCTCTCCACACTCTCCACCCTCGTGTCAGTGCTTATTCCCCTTTAATGTATCTCCGCACTCAACACTGCCCACCTTTTGTTCTTTTCTTCATCTCAATCCTCACTCTACTCCATTTTTCCCCCTTCTTACAAGTCCTTTCATCTAAAGATCTCGGTTTCCAGGACGGAGAAACTCGACGCCCCACAGGCCACCCGTCACCTGAAGCGGGCGATGCAGTCTCATTGCTTAGGCTTTTTCCCTTTCTTTCTGTTTCCTGTGGCTTTTATTTACGTGAAAACTTTGGATGCCCAGACTTAGATAACTTTTGCTGAAACTACACTCTTATTTCTAGCCCATTTCTTCCTCTTTCTTCTCTCATTCTCCTTTGAACCTTTTCTCTGTCCCTTATTTTTCTATGCCAGGAGCAAAAGCAATCGGGCTGGTGTTAACGCCTGCCTTCCACAGCCAGCATCCCCGCACTTTTATCTCCCTGTCTGCTTCCTGTCCTCTTCCTTCTCCCTTTCATCTCTCACTCCCCCTGCCCTGCTTTACTTTTTTCTTTTTAACTTTAAGGGGCCTCAGAATGTCCAAACTGGAGGCTGAACTTAGCTTCGTAGTAGACCTATCATGTGTAAAGCCCTGAATTCAATCCCCGGTGTTTATTAAAAAAAAAGTCAGCCATGGTTTAGGTATTTCATTTCTCACTCACTTTTCCTTTCCTTGGGCTTTACTACCTTCCTGACAACCCCAGGGGCCTGCGTCCCTCCTCTGTGACCCTGCCAGTCTGTATACGGCCCTACATGCATGCTGACTGAACACTGTACCAACCTATCCGCTCATCACTTGTGCATCAAAACAGATGCACAACCACCGCCCGCTCGCACCCCGACTTGCAAGCCGCTGGCCCTATTTATGTGCTTCCTCGCTCCTTCTGGTTCACACCCGCCTTGATCCCATCATTTATTACAGAAGGTAATCAATACACAGAAAAGACCTGTGGGCAGGAAAGCCATGACCCTCACAACGTCCTAACCCTTCCTGCTTCCTCCCTCTGAGGTCGCCAGCCAGGGGCACACGGGCGGAGGCACACGAAGGCTCCTCCACTCCCAGCTCCTCCCGCGCTCGCATCCCAGACAGCCTGGGTGGACCGAGATTTGGGCTCCCCCCACCTGGCCCCTTTGCAGGGCAGGCGTTTCCCACTCTGCTCCCCGGCCCCCGGTGAATGGCCATCCCCATGAGAAGCCCGTTTCAAGACCCCGGAATACATAGAGACACACGGTACATAGCCTTCCCCGCTGGGAAGCGACAGACACAGAGTTCGTTTGTAAATAGGTGGCTTTGTCTGTAGTGATATAAAAATATTTTGGCCTTTCAAGGCAAATACAAAAGACGCTCCCCATTACCATCCCTGAGTGTCCCAGTCCTGAACAATAAAGAGTTTGAAGAGGTTTAGCCGGAAACTTTGAAGACAGAAAACCTGCCCATTATGTTTTCCAGACATTTCGAGGGGTTGAGCGCAGGTCACGGAGCCCGAAGCCCGGGTCCTTGCAGCCTTGTCTGCCCTGCGGCACGAGAGCCAGAGGGAGACGCAATGATGAAAGAGCCATTCATTGACAAGAGCGAAAAAGAGGGATTCTTTTGGGGTCCCACACTCGACGCTGCCTATAGAATTCTTTGGCCACTGAGACAACAGTACGAGGCTCGGGGCTCCCGTCTTAGAGCACGAGCTCCGGGCCGACACCGCCCGGCTTGCCGGGCACCCGCGCCCCTCCCTGCCTGGCAGTGTGTGTGCTGGGGTGGGGTGACGGCTGGTAGCCACAAGTGTGCTCATTAAACTCTGGCGACTTACGATTCAGGGATGGGGGGCGCTGCGGTGCTGTGTCGGGGTGTCCGGGGTGTCCGAGGTCCTGTCCCACGCGGGATTCCCGGTGATGGCTTCGGCTGGAAGGAAAGAGTAGGGGATCACGAAACAAACCCCAGCCAGCCAGGTGAGGAAGAGGAGGCCGATGGTTAGGGCCACTGCTCTGGAGGGGGCACAGGTGGCCCAAAGCAAGGACTCCCCAGCTTCCGAGATGGGTAGTGTCTGGGACACTTCTCTTTAGCCTGGGCACAGGGACAGGGCTCCCAGTGCCAGGCTGTGTGTCGGTGCCACCTGGGGGACCAAAGCCACTCTATGGAAGCCACAGATTCAGGCCTGAATGCACAGGTAAGACCAAGCCAACACTGAGGTGGTAGCCCGCTCCCTAGAGGCTGTCACCCTGAAGGCAGGGCGACCACAGCACACTGGGAAAATCGAAAAGCCCAGCAAGGTTCAGCGGGTGGCATGGTGGGCAATGGGCCTAGGGGAGACCAGGGAAGTGGACTGCAGCCAGCAGGACAGGGCTGGGGGCAGTGCCAGGGTTGTGGATTTTACTGGGCAGTGTTGCTACACTGTGGTGCACACATCGGCGTGAGGCACAGGTGACTACAGCAGGACCTGAATGGTGTCTCCACCCTACAATGGGCACCTTGAAAGGCACCGCGGCCAGGCCTGACCAGGCTCTGACATTGGTGTTTGCCTCACACCCTGGCTGTAAGAGTAAGATCAGCCAGCGGAGTGCAGAACCCACAGACGTGCGACACTGACACCAACATGGACCAAGCAGGAGCTGAGTCCTGCTGGAGCCTCATAGGTAACAACAATGTTCCCAGCACAAGTGCAAGACACCCTCTAGAGGGGACCTGGCAGGGGCAGGGACAGGGGCAGGATTGGGCATATGACAGTGCTCTGTATTCCCTTCTAAACTTTTCTTAAACTAAAAGCTACTTAGAAAGAAAAAAGGCCACTAAAGACTTTCCTATAGAATGGGGGTTTCAGACAGGGTCTCACTGTGTAGCCAGGCTGGCCTCAAACTCAGGGCCATCTCTGATCCTCCTCCCTCAAGTGCTGGGATTGCAGAGTGCACCAACACTCCCAGCACACTGCTATTATTGTGACTGGTTGTACTGCTTTAGCCAAGGTGACACAGTTGTGACAACCAGTTGTTCTTCCTCGTATGCTGTGATCAAGATTGCATGAAGGCCATGAGCATACTACAGGCCACATCCCCAGTGCATTCAACAGGTATGATCTCGCCGAAGACCCACAAGCCAAAAGCTGAGGAGCACTCACTTCCTAAGGAGTTCTCCGCACCAGCAACAAAGTTACCCACCATAAGCAACTTACAAACACCAGTGCAGAAATTAAACTTAAAAAGAAAGAAGAGAAAAGGAAAATATTATTCCTAGAGTCTGGCAAAGCTAAAGAGGTGAGTGGAAGCCGGGGAGATCTGTCATGTCTCCAAAAAGAAATACAATGATCAGGACATATGTAAAAATAAAATATCGATATCTTTGGCCATCGGGAAACGAAATCACAACTACCCAGAGAGTTCATCTCACCTGAGCCACTAAAAACCATAAGACATCCTAGCAAGGTCATGAGGAGGAAGGACCTTTCTGCACTGCTGGTGAGATTGTAAATCAGCAGGGTCCTCATGGAAATTCACATCGAGGGGCCTCAAAAAACTAAAAACAAGCCGGGCGGGGTAGCTCACTTCTGTAATCCCAGCACTCGGGAGGCTGAGGCAGGAGGATCGTTGCAAGTCTGAGACCAGCCTGGTCTACCAAGTGAGCCCAAGGCCAGCCTGAACTGCATATCGAGACCCTGCCTCAAAAAGACAAAAAAAAGAAGAAAAAATACTGAAAACAGAACTACCACACGTCCCAGCAGTATACCACTCCTGGATACAGTAGCTGCCTGAAAACATTCAAGTCAGCCTGCCATGGAACTGTGGCCCAGTTCACGACCAATACACTGTGGAGCCATGCAGCCATGAAGAACAGTGAAACTGAGTCACTGGCAGGAAAATGGGTGGACTGGACATCATCCCGTGAAGCGAACTAGCTGGGCAGGGTAACCTCAGCACTCAGGAAGGTGAGACAGGAGGGTCATTGCCAAGGTCGAGACCACCCTACTGGGCTACAAAATGAGCTCAAGGCCAGCCTGAACTGCATAGTGAGACCCTGTCTCAAAAAGACAAAAAATAGAAATATGAAGAAAACTCAGTCAGACTCAGACAAGTTTCTCATTTATCCTAATAAATGGAAAATTTCAGAATGACGTGAGAGTTAAACGGGAGACCATCATGAGAGGAGGGAAAGGAATATAAAGTGAGGGCGAGGGTGGGGTCAGCGGAAGCCTAATGGGGGATGGATAGGGTCAAAATGTACGCTTGCATCAAAAATACTTTTGTGGGGCTGGGGATTTAGCTCAGCGGCATAAGCGCCTGCCTTGCAAGCAGGCAGTCGTGAGTTCGATCCCCAGTACCGATAAAAAAAAAGGAAAAAGTAAAAATATTTTTGTTTCTTTCAGGTAGTGTCTCACTATGTAACCCAGCTATTACCAGGTTATGCCAACCCTCCTGCCTCAGCCTCCCAAGTGCTAGGATTACAGGTGTGCACTGTCATGCCTGGCATTCAAAAAATTTTAAGTAATAAAAATAAAATTTAAGAAAAAAAAAAAAGAAGAAAGGAGGATCTGGGACAGTAGAGGGAAGGTGGGGACCAGCCTGTTTGGAAATTGTTCTCTGGGGGTAGAGACAGAAAGTCTGGGGACCATTAGGGGGGTGGCTGAGAGACAGAAAGGCAGTAAGGGGTGTGAGGTGGCACTGGAACTACAGGTCCCGTGACACCTCAGGGCAGGGGCCTGCCTGACGGCCCTCCAGCGGTGCCCTCCAAGTCTGCACCTACCCTGATCTCAGCCACTGGGGAACCCCACAGCTACCTTTCTCTCTCTACTCCCGGACTGGTCTCTGGCTGGGCCTCCAAAACCCCAGCAGGGCACAGGTGGGATGTCTCTTGCTTCCAAATCCTTCTACAAACTCTTTCACTGGCTTTAAGCTTCCCCAAGCACACTTAACCACAAAATTGTAAGAACTCTGGAAAAGGAGGGTCACAAGGCAGCAGCCAGCTCCTGGGGAGGGCCAGGGCCGACTCTGGCACTCTTGAAGGCTCAGGACCACCAGGGACGCACTGAGTACCGTCAGGACAGTGTGGCCCAGCCCAGAACACCTGCTTGGCTGGGCGACCCTGGCCCTACAGCAACAACCACCCTCCAGCCCAGGGGCACTCAGCAAGAGGGAAGCCCTGCCATTTCCTGCAGGAATAAGAGCCAGACCTTTACTTTGTGGCTTCTGTTTTGGTTGATTTCATTTCTAATAGGAGCAGGGAAATCAGAAGCTGCTCAGAGTATCTGGGTATATTCCTGCCTCTGCTCTGGGGAGCCCCCCCCCCAGACCCTCGGTGCACCTGCCCGTCCTTAATTAACTCTGCACACAGACCCTGAGCTGCCCTGGTGAGACGCAGCCTGCCATAGCCGTGCCTTGGTTTCTAACCTGCGTGCACCAGCTCCGGGTCTGCCATGATATATTAATCATGCGGTGCGGGGCTGGAATCTTAACAAATGTCAGAAGAGCTGCAGAGATGAGTCACTGTCTGGAACTGAAGGGAAACGCAAGGCCTCCTTCTAGAGCCCAGCAGAATAACTGTCGCGAGCATTTGATCGGAAGACCTCATAAATGCATAACCTGAGCTCGTGACTCACACAGAAAGTGTTGCAGATGCAACGAACCCAGCCTACGGGGCTTAGCAGGATTAGAACGTTCTAGCTCTGCCTTAGGAGATTTAAAGTTACTCTCTTCCTGAAGTAAACAGGACCTGATTGATCCGGTATATCTTCAGTACAAATATCATGTGGATGTCTCAAACAGAGAAAAATGTCCAAGGGTTATTTTTATTAAAATGTTTACTTCAAGAAATAGAGCCGGTAGTTGCACAAATAATCACCCTTGCCTGGCTCAGATCTCACGCTTCCTACCTGTTGAGAAACACTGCCCTCTCAGACCCTCCCCTGACCAAAGTAAGCGCTCTGCCGCGCTGATTTCCTGTACCTTTGTGAGGCCCGGGCCCTGGACATTACAGGCCCATTTATGAAAATAGGGGAGGTAATTGGGACATCTTTTGAAACTGTGTCCCTCTTGGGCCCCAGGCCCCCACCCGTCCTCTAATTTCAGGCGGTCGGTTGGTCGGGTTACAGAGGATGTTTACATATGCCTCTTCCTGGAATTTCACCTCTTTGCTTCAGGAGAGGGCAATTAGAGAGAATTAGAGCCTATTTGGCGTATGTTTACCGTTAATGGATGAAGAGGCTGAGGCAGCCTTGAAAAAGCAGACTGCTGGTCTAATTGAAGCTGGCAATGTTTTGATTCCTCGTTTCAGCTCGCAGGTATTGTAGCAACCAAGGTCACGAAACAAAAGCTCCAGCCCACCATGGTAATCACCGGGCACAGGCCTGCCCGAAGGTCCTGGAGCTGCTCGCTGCTACTCTCAGGAGCGCCGAGCAAAAGCTGGAGACGTCTGCAAGGCTGCGGACGGGCAGCCAGCGCAGGACGCCTGCCTCCCGCTTTCTAGAACTTCCAACCTTGATGGCTTCTGCAGAGTTCCCAGCTGAGCTGGCCACGGTGCCAACCTGTGTGTTGCCAAGGTCTCATGACCAAAAGGCACACAGTGGGCCACTGGGGATAGCACCTCCAGGCCACACCGCCTGGGACGGAAGCCACAAGCCTGCTCCATAACCCAACAAGGGTTTCCCAGCCTGGCCAACAGCCCAGCGACTTGGAACAGTGACCCATAACTTGTGGTCCCTGCACCATGGGACAAGGGGCAGCCCCTGGGCGCTTCCTGAGGTCCCTGGCTCTGACCTGCACCAAGATCTAAGTTCCCAAAAAGCTGACCAAAAGGAATGGGCTCGTGGCAATGACCCACTGACCACACAGTCAAGTGGAAGCTGGAGGCTGACACTGGCCTCCACACGAGGCCCCGCCACCAGCTATCCATACGGCCCTGGGTGGAACTCTGACCTG